GCACCGCCCGCTCCACCGCCTCCTTTACCACCGGCCGCACCACCGGCTCCGCCACCGCCCGCACCGCCAACAGTGGACGGCGCGACTCGAAGTCCTTTCTCTCCTTTGTGTGATTTGTGTTTCTTTTTGCCGTCTTTTCCCTCCAAGTATTGAACCATTCTTTTCGTATAGAAAGGCATTTCTGACACTAATTCAAAACCCGATCCAAACTCTTGTCAATAAATTCTTTGAATATCTGATGTCTGAAACACTTTCTCTAAAAGACAATCTATTTTTGACGAATGAAAAGTTCGTTTGACTAATGTTTTGTCACTTTTAACTCAATTTAAATTTAAATTATTTTCATTATTGAAACGTGACTTTCATTTATAATTACATCAAAACCTTCAAAATCAATACTAAACCCAACGTTCAGTTCACTTATTCTACAATTAGAAGTCAAATGAGTTTTTAATATGATTTAAAAGTGGATAAAAGTATTGTTGAAAACACGGGATAGAAGTAAGAAATGAATGTTTAATTCAAATCATGAGAATTGGATTTAAATGAAACCGTTTTTATGTTTTGATTCATCACTTGAGTCAACAGTTAATCCAAAACAAATTTCTTTGAATATCACTTGTATTGAACACTAATTAATCGGATAATGACTGCCACTCCTAGTAGTAAATCTCACATCATTTGAATGCAATTTCTTAATTGATAACTAATTGTATAAATGCTTTAGAAATAGATTTAATGGATATTCAGTCGAAATTTAGTCCATATGTGAGGAATGAAAGCCAAACCAAACTCAAAGCGCAGGCAATCGGCGCCCGATTTAGTCCACAAAAAGGACTCAATTTGTTGGGAAGATTGTCGCCCACAGTATCGCCCGCGCCGTCCAGTCCTGGAGAGGAATGTCAGACCATCACTGAGTGGACCGGACGTCAAGAACCCGGACAATTTCTTAATTGATAACTAATTGTATAAATGCTTTAGAAATAGATTTAATGGATATTCAGTCAAAATTTAGTCCATATGTGAGGAATGAGAGCCAAACCAAACTCAAAGCGCAGGCAATTGGCGCCCGATTTAGTCCACAAAAAGGACTCAATTTGTTGGGAAGATTGTCGCCCACAGTATCGCCCGCGCCGTCCAGTCCTGCAGAAGAATGTCAGACCATCACTGAGTGGACCGGACGTCAAGAACCCGGTGTCGACGAAGTGTCTCAAACCGATCCAACGATTGTATGTATTTTAACGTTAAATCAATGGTTTAAAGATAATTATGAATTGATTTTCAGGTTAACGATTGTGAGACACAAACAGTTGCTGAGACACAACCGGAGGTGAGGCGGAGGAATGGGCTCAAGAAGTGCTGTTCTCTGATGTAAAGTAGATTCGCATTCGTTTGAAAATTATATCAAAAATAGTTTATTCAGTCATTTTTTAAATCTTTTGTTTGTTTTAAATTATTCATTGATTTGTATATATTTTCATGAATTTATGTATTATTTTAAGATTTATTGTTTTTTCATATCTGCCTTCGAATGATATAAATTCGTATTATAATAAACTCTATTTTAAAACAAAATATTAGATTTAAATTATTTTTATAAATTACTTGTGTTTTAAATAGAAATATCACAAAAATATAATATATATTTGGTTTCAAATTTATTTTATTTAAGAGAGAGAGAGAGAGAGAGAGAGAGAGAGAGAGAATGAGAGAGAAGTATAAGTGCCACTACTTTCGGCGCTAACAATATCGATAAATTGTATATAAAATTGTGTTAAATACTTGTCTCTGTTATACACATACATGTATAGTGTATAAAATCTTATTTTGCAATTTATTGTTATATTTTGGATTCAAATTATGATTCAAACGTCGAATTCAAACAATTGAATCGCGAGAAGAGATTTTGAATAAATTGTAAGCAATTGTAAAAAGTATTCACATATTTAACACTTATTTTCACGATCTGTTCATTCCTTCGGTTATTATTTAGTTTTTTAAAAAATCAAATCAAAACCGTTTTAATTCATAACTGTTTTGACATTTCGTTGCATTTGTTTCACAATTTCTTTGACAAAAACAACTATCGATTGAATGACTGAAACCTATCTGAAGGAAGCGGTGGTGACGCCGGTGTCTGAGGACGGGTCGGGTCCGGGTGTGTCGTACGGCGCGTCTTCAGTGCAGGGCTGGCGCAGCACTCAAGAGGACGCACACATCTGTTTGCCATCATTTGACAAAAACGGTAGCCTTTGGGCCGTCTTTGATGGACACAACGGCGCCGAAGTGGCCGTCTTTGCCTCCAAACGGTTCCCGAAACTATTGAAAGAGAATAAGAACTACAAGAATCGCAACTATGAAACCGCACTGAAGGAGTCGTTTATGGCTTTAGACGATCTGCTAATGAATCCGCAATCGATCCGAGAATTAGTGGCCATAAGACAGTCGTATTCAAAAGTGCCGATAACTAAGTCGACGGCTCCGGGCATTGCCAGCGGCTGTACAGCGACTGTGGTGTTAGTGAAAGACGGGGTCTTGTATTGTGCCAATTGCGGTGATTCCCGGAGTATTCTGTCCCGCAATGGGAAGGCATACCCGCTGTCGGCCGACCACAAGCCCGACGACGACAACGAGAAGCGCCGGATAGAGACCGCCGGCGGAGAAGTGACGTCCGGACGAATCAATTACGGGATTAACGTTTCGCGTGCTTTTGGCGACCATTTGTATAAACGGAATACAACTCTAGCGAAGGATCAACAGATGGTTATCGCTGTTCCCGATGTGAAGAAAGAGAAGTTACGATCTGTTGATAACCTAATGGTTCTCATCTGTGACGGCGTCTGGAATAGTGTTCCCAACGAAGACCTCATCGCTTATGTCAACAAAAGGGTCGCCAAAAAAGTGAAACCCCTGTCGAGGATCTGCGAAGAGATCTTCAAACAAATACTACCGACAGTTATGCCCATCAAAGGGATTGTCGGCAAAGACAACATGACTTTTCTGATCGTCGTGTTTGAGGCCAACGACGCGTCGATGCGAACCAATAGTAGCCGTCAGTCAACCGCACCGAAAAAGTTTGGTCTCTTCTTCTGATCGCACCATCGCTTCCATCAATGAATCCAATCAATTGTCTTCAAAATCTATTTGTATTTCAATTTCAAGACATTTAAACAGATATTAATTCTTTATTTCCAATAGTTTTTGATTAATAATTCATGAAAAATACTTTTCTATAACTTTTTCTTTTTCTATAATTCATTGATATTTCGTAATAAAAAACAATCTAATGTTTGAAAAATAATAATTAAATGACTATTATTTTAATGAATTTCAAGTAAAAATGTTGTCCACGTTTTATACTAACTATTAGTCTATTTTATAAACACTTAAAGCAAAATATTGGATTTAAATTATTTTTATAAATTACTTGTGTTTTAAATAGAAATATCACAAAAATATTATATATATTTGGTTTCAAATTTATTTTATTTAGAAGAGAGAGAGAGAGAGAGAGAGAGAGAGAGAGAGAGAGAAGTAGTATAAGTGCCACTACTTTCCGCGCTAACAATATCGATAAATTGTGTATAAAATTATGTTTTATTTGTAACACAAATCATTCAATCGCTAAACAAATGTTGCAATCATTTTCATAATGAATTCGCGCAACAAATGGTTTTGTGGGTTAAATGGTTTCCATTATTTGAATTAACGTTTATTTGATTTCGTTTCTCAATTGAATTCATTTAGTATAGGATTGACAACACTTTGGTTCGGCCACCCGTCAGCTCCAGTCCGTGGATCTCCTGTTCGCCCGATTCTGTGCCACGCATTCCGGTATCTGTAATGTGTTGACGAAGACAGAGGCGTCGCCCGTTTGAAACGACCGCCCAGTGGTGTGCCCGCAATCTTCGGCGGGAATTCACTCTTTGATCAGCCAATAGTAACCATCACTCGTAAGGAACCACTGATTTGTGGTATAGATATAAGATATAGAGTTTATTTTAAAGCCATTCTGACACAAGTCTTGTCCATTGATAACTAGTTTTATACACATATATAATATTATCACTGATTTATACATTGAGTTTGCCATCAATTCTTGTGATTATTTTTCGGGAATTAATATTTTGTGATAAAGTTTTTGACTACAATTTCCAATTAGATTTCCGTTTGATTTGAACGCAATGTTTGCGTGAAATCAATGTATTGTTCAATGAATTAAATTCATTTACAAAAATATAGATAATTTATAGTAAGTTTTAAAATTAATAAAACCCTCTAAACTGTACGTAAATTACTTTATAAATCACGAGATAATAACTGAATTCAAAGTACAAATTAAACCATAAGTGCATTGAATATTAATATTTTTCAAACCGTTGACAGAATTATTGGAAATTAAATCAGATTATCATTGAATTGATTGATAAGTTCTTTGTATAAAATAAAATGAATACCTTTTATCTGTTGGGTAAGCATTGGTTTACTAATACAACTGATATTAAGATCAACGATAAATTCAACTAACGTTTTGATCACATTTTGTTGGTCTCAAACTTAGCCGTAATTTTGCTTTTCATAAACGAATCACAAAACGAGAAAATCAATTGGTTTTGCAGAAAGTTTGCCAAAAATGGTTACAATATATCCTACGGTTACCATCACTTGGATTCGGAGGGCAATGAACACAACTACCTGTTCATTGACCACATGTATTGGCCGCTCAAGTTTGACGACAACGCCGACGACAGTAAGAAAACGGTGTCTCTGGAGAACGCGATGTCCGCCGACGTGTACACCACCGACACGTTTGGCAGACAGTATTCGATGGCATTTTGCGTTTGGTTTGATGCCAACACTGATCCACAACTCATTGCCAAACACTGCACGACAGCACTCTTCAGGGTATGTGTTGAACACATTGTGTGGTAAATACCAACTCATAATCAAATACTTAACTAACAGTCGGACAACAATACCATCGATTGGTTAGTCGTCGGCAGCGGTTTGGATATCTATAAACTCCGGAATACAACTCGAGTAGAGTTTGTGCTCAACTTTAAGCCCGAACTGGCCTTTCATTCGAGTTCTGGCGAAAAAAAATATCCAACAATTGTTTTTATGGCCAAACGAGAAGTATATTCGTGTGGAGTGAGAGAATCGGACGTTAAGACTACGTGTGGCGAAGGGTGGCTCAAACACCAGCACATCTTCGCCGACATCGACCCCACATTAGAGATGATGGCTGTACTCAACCAATACAGTGACAAGGATTGGGAAAAAAGGCCCAAACCGGGCACTCCTGCCGGCGACGACACATACTTAGGTCACGGCTCTATTATTGTGTTCAAATTTGATCAGGTTATCAAGTATTGCTATAAAACTCTCGCTGATGGCCGACCCGAACAGGTGGTCGAGTATTATTTGTTATTTTTTAGTACTTTATTATAATTTGTTTGGGTTTTCAGTGCAAACCAGAAAATCTAAAAATATTAATCAATTGTACGGACAGTGCTGTGGAACCGACGGAAGTCAAGACAAAAAGCTCATCCAATTGGTCGAAGACAATAATTTTTGTGGTGTTTATTGCGGCCATTATATTGTGTGTTATCTTTGCAGTCAATTATCAATATTTATATGAATGTAAATCTCTATTAGGAAATTAGTTTTGTTGTAAATTATTGCAAAATTAATGTAAAATTATTTTTTGGCAGCAAATATGAGTAAATCAGACAAAACAGCGAAACCAAAGAAATCTGCGCCAAAAGGTTTGCCAAACAAATGATTGCATTTCTCATTTCAAGCGAGAAATGCTATTATTTTGTAATTGTTTTGTTTGTAATGAAATTAATGTGAATTTAATTTTGCTTTAAAGCAATTCAAGCGAC